GATTCGTCGTCAGACTCTTCTGAAAAGCTGGCATCAAGATTTCATTTATTTTTAAGTGCTTTCAGGGTAAGAGCCATACATGACAACTGGCCTTATCAGCGAAAATGGACACTAAAAACAATCAGTGAAAAGACAGTCACGGAATTGCCAGACAGACATTTCACACGATCAAATAATAAAAATAGGTCATATAATTGCCGTGTTTTGGAACCGAGGTTTGCACTGAGAATAATAGTAACAGTGAATATAATTTCTCTGTTGCCTTCGGTTTGTGAGCTTTCTGACCACGAAAATGTACACAACAGTTATGTCTGTGTTAGTCGTTTCCTTGTACGGAATTTACGGTAAGTTAAAAAAAAAAAATAGTTTCACTTTTCCTCTCCGCATAATCGAAGTAGAGGAATAAATTAACAAATTAGCGCAAAAGCAAAATATTAGTTTTATGTAAAAAAAAAGGATGAAAAGCACCATAGAAAATATATCTTTTTTCCTAATTTCAGCAGAGAAAGAGCTTTCTTAATTATTCGTGTTTGTCTGCCTATGTGTCTATGTGGCTATATGTATGTGCTGTGTGTGGAAGTCTGCATGCTTGTCTGCGTGAGTGTGTGTGTGTTTTTCAATGTGTATGTCAGTGTGTGAGCATGTATGTATACATGTCTACTGTGCATAAAGAGCTGTATATTCTAGTGCTGTATTACGCTTCAAAGTAATTCAACGTCTTTGACAATCTTCGACGTAGCAGTTTTCGACTGTGTTGGCAGTCGGCTGGGAAAAAGACAGTGCTTGTGGTTTTCTGACAGTGGTACGAGAATCTTACTGTTGGAAAAGCTGGGACGTCGCCACGAAATAGTCGCAAAGGCAAACTTCTATTGTGGTGACAGCGTAAAATAAAAACCCAGAATGTAGAGTCAGTTCTGATGGATTGAAATGAATTATAGACGGTCGGAAGATTATTTTACGGAGGATGTCGCGGTGTGGTCGCAAAGAAGAATGATCGGAACTTCTCTTCATTTTCTTAAAGTCCATGCCGTGTGGCGTTGGTAATCATGTATAACCACAATCTTCTTCTTCTTTTTCTTCGCGTTCACCAGCTGTACACTCTGGCGTAAAGTTCTGGTTGTTCGTCCACTTCTGGACTGCAGTCCTGCTCCAGAACCTGAGTGTTGCGTGTGCATCAGTGTTACAGATCTGAATCAATTGAATGAGGACTGCTGGTTCCTTGCCTCTCAGGCAGATGCACTCCGACTTCAAAGGAAGCTCCCCAGTTAGTCGAATCTTACGACATGCTTTTGGGAAGGCAGTGGGTCTATTCTTGTTTTCCCCACAATAGGGCTCCGGAACCCACAATCTTCTGTCTCGTGTACTTTTAATCAATTCTGACACAGATGATCCTACAAATCATGACGTCAAATTGTCCAGCATCTTTTCTCTCGGTCTGCCTCTCCTCCCCTCCAACTTTCCCACTGTCACATGCACGCCAGCTTTCTCCTTCTCATCATATGATCACATAATGTAGATTGTCTTTTTCAAAGTGAGCAGTCAGTTCTCTTTGTGAGTCAGTATCTTTCAAGTCGTCCTAATTACTCCTTTAATCTGTCTAGGCTATTTTTACCATTCGTCTATAAAACCACATCTCCGCAGCTTCCAAAAAGTTTTCACCAATATACCAACTGCCCATGATTCACCACCACACATCAAGATAGGATTTATATAGGTTTTAAGAATTCTCTTTCTCGTCTCCATGGGTGCTGCGTGGTCTCGAGAAATGGTGTCTGCCTCGAGTGCTAGAGGTTCCGGGTTCAATCCATGGTAAGGGCTTAGATTTTTTTCACGTGGACTTGGACTTCTAGTAATTCCGCCCGATCTCTGGGTAGTCAGATCGGACGCCCATGTGCATTGCTGCGCACGTAAAAAATAACTTTGCAGATATCTAAAAGAGAAGCATAACGGTGCTGCCCTGGAATAATTTGGAGTTAAAAATGTACCCCAAGTATTCCAGGATCCTCGCCGGTGCTGCAGAGCCTGTTCACAGTGCTGAGCTTCTTCTGACTCAGACTTGAAGAAGAACGGAGCACTTATGGGTCACTATCCGTGTGCCATAGCGTTGATCCGTTGTTCAAACTTCACATCTATTTCTCGTCTCCTTTGACAAAGAAATATTACATAAAATGATCGCAACACTGTGGATAAGTTAAAAGCCCAAAGGAGCGCAGTAAATATAGAGGGCTCGACGAGGGCTATGCAGCTATGTTTACTTAGGCGCCAACATTTTGAAAGTGGGCGGGCCGCCTGTTGAATGAATGATGTTCAACCCCACCAGGACCGCACAACGAGCGGTAAACACCCGGAGACACAAAGTGAAACCATTCGGATGAGAATCACCCAAGTACAAGTCCGAGAAACCAGGTGATCCAAGATCAATTTTAAAATAACATTATAAAAGGATCCGGATTCGAACGTTACCTCGGCTACCAGGTTTATATATAAGGAAAGCTAGAATATCGTAGAATTATTATAGAATTATAGAATTAGTATTTTAGGGTTATGTGAAACTAGATAGACTGGGGCAGGGAAAAGTATTCTAAATTCAGGAGAAAATAATTTGTTCTCAGGACACACAGAGGAAAATTCGCCGCACAGTGAGGGAGTGGCCCTGATGCTATCAAAAGAAGCAGACAGGGCACTAATAGAATGGGAAGCTGTGAGTCCCAGAATAATAAGAGCATCTTTTAGAACAGTTTAACAGAAGGTGAACATCTCGGTAATACAGTGTTATGCACCAACAAATGATAAAGATGCATCTGTTAAGGAAGAATTTTACATGCAGCTTCAAAATATTATAAATAATGAAAGAAAGGGCAACTTAAAAATTTTGAGGGGTGACTTGATGCTAAGATAGGATCAGACAACACAGGTTATGAAGAAATTATGGGGAGACATGGTCTAGGAGTAATGAATGAAAATGGAGAATTGTTAACAAATTTGTGTGCAGGTAACCAGTATGTTATTGGTGGAAGTATTTTTTCCCATAAAAGTATACACAAGGCAACATGGGAATCACCAGACCATAAGACAAAACTAATCAAATTGACCACTATGTATTAACCAAAAAGTTTAGATCATCCCTTTACGATGTTAGGGCTTTCAGAGGTGCCGATGTATTTACTGACCATTTCCTAGTGGTAAGTAAAATCAAGTTGAAACTAAAAAGATATATAACATCTTATAATCATAGAAACCAATATAATGTAGGCTTTCTCAGAGATAAAGAAATTAAGGAACAGTTCTCAGTTACGGTCTCTAAAACGGACTATCATTACGGACTATGAAAACAGTAACTGCTAACACCAAGAATGGAATTCAGTGGACCCTACAAAACAGCTTGATGATCTGGACTTCGCTGATGATATTGCTCTTCTGTCCCATTCACGGAATCAGATGCAAGATAAATTAAATATACTTAATGCGAGATCAAAGCAGCTTGGTCTGAAAATCCATAAAGGAAAGACAAAGATAATGAGAATAAATCAGGCAAATAGTAATGTGGTTTCTCTTAATGGCACCCCACTCCAAGACGTGGAGTCGTACACCTATTTAGGCAGTAATGTAGATAAAGATGGAGGAACTGATAGAGATATTAAAATAAGAATACAAAAGGCAAGAGGGGCTTTTATAGCACTAGGGAATTTGTGGAGGTCAAAGAAATTAAAAGAAATACTAAACTAAAAAATGTTTAATTCTAATGTCAAATCAGTACTACTATTGTATGGGGCGGAAACATGGAGAACAACCAAGGCAATTACTAATAAATTACAGATACATTCATTAACTGGTGCCTGCGCAGAATAGAGGGAATAAAATGGTATGATAGAATAACTAATGTAGAACTTTGGGAGAGAACTTAACAGGCTCCAGTGGATCAGGAAGTGAGGAAAAGACGCTGACGTTGGATAGGGCACACACTGAGAAAACAGGAGAACAGCATAACTAGAATGTCTTTGCATTGGAACCCACAGGGGCATAGGAATAAAGGAAGGCCAAAAAACACATGGAGAAGAGAGCTGGAGAACGAGGTTAGAAAGATTGGGAGGACATGGGGAGAGCTCCATGCAATGGCGAAGGATAGAACGACTTGGCGTGAGTTGGTTGAGGGCCTATGCTCCATTGGGGGATAGAAAGGCAGAAGAAGAAGAATATTGTAGGCGGCTTAGCATGATAAGTTAAAAAAAAAGTAAAGGACCCTTTCCACGCCTTTAGGCGTATAGGGCATATAGGGCTGGACCTATATTTTTATAGACCAACGGCACAAGATGGGTGATGTGGTCAGCATCACGCCGGCCGCCTCTACTTCCCGGGATTGCACCCGGTACCCACTCAAGGCTGGGTCGACCTGGGAGCCAAGGTCATTTCTGAAGAAAAGTCCCTCTCCGCCAGGGAGCGAACCCACGACCTTTCGATCCGCGGCGCGCGTCTAGCCGCTTTGCCACAGCGACTCCCTAGCATGATAAGGTTGAGACAAAAATAATTAAAAAAAAACTCCACAGGGGAGCATACACAGCAGGAATCTACCGGTCATCAGTAGAAGATCTTCGTCGACAATTGTTTCGGCCCGTTACCATCGTAAACAGTCTCGGAAGCTGGGCCAACCTGGGTCATGACGCTAGGCCCCGGTATTTCCCAGCTGCGCTTAATCGGACACGTAATGGCGAGACGAAGGTGAATTCAGTAGGTACTGGTGAGATTTGGTTCTGTGAATCGATGGTGATTGGCAATATTCTTGCTGTCATGTTTATAGATCAACCGGCACTCATTGGCTGATGTGGTTGGCTCTATTTCACAGGACATTACCTGGCACAAATTTTAGGCTGAGAGCCGAAGTCAGCTTTGAAAAAAAAAATATAGTAGATGTTTTTACTTCTGCCATTGGCATTTCAATAAAATAGAATCCTTTTTTACTGATTTTTTAAAATTATATATTTTTTGAACAATCTGTAGCCCAGAATCATCGAATTGAATGTCCTCAATGTACGGATCCTTACAACCCGGAGTCATGTACGGAAATACTGAACTGTTTAGGTGTAAGTATCCAAGGAAAAACCACGTCGCTCTTCAGCTCTGTTATCGAGTAAATTTATACATAAATTAAACTACAGTTTAATTAACTTGCAACATATTTTATTGAATAGCCCGGAAGTGGACAAACAATTAAAAAAAGTTCCGTCTGTGAAGGTTAAGAGAAGAAGAATAAGAAGAAGAAGAAGAAGACGAAGAAGGAAAAGAAAAAGAAGAAGAAGAAGAAGAAGAAGAAGAAGAAGAAGAAGAAGAAGAAGAAGAAGAAGAAAAAGAAGAAGAAGAAGTAGAAGAAGAAAAAAAAAAAGAAGAAGAAGAAGACGAAGAAGACGAAGGAGAAGAAGAAGAAGACGAAGAAGAAGAAGAAGAAGAAGAGTAGAAATTATCATGTGCAGAGTGAGTTGCTATGTATTGAAAGCGCTGGTTTTTTTGAACATTTATTTTAGTGTTGCCCACTTCTTTTTATACTCTTTGCCGTTTTGGACCCGCAGTCGTGCCTACCCGTTACCTTCTGTCTCGTGTACTTGCTACTAAATTCTGGCACAGATGCTCTTCTACACCACGCCTTCAGACTGCCCGGCATCTTCTTTCTTGGTTTTCCTCTACCCATTTGTTCCTTTCCAACTGTCCCACCGTCACGAGGTGCTCTAGTTTGCTCTTTCTCGTGACATGACAAAGAAAATAGATTGTCTCCCACTGATGTCAGCAATGTATACTATTTTCTTCGTGAGCAAGTTTTTTCGAGTTACATGGGGTTGTCCTTATTCTGTTTGATAGTGTCTTTTCTCACTTTGTCTCGGATGGATAAGTTATCGGCTGTTATCAGGTGTCTCCTTCTACATGTATTATTTGACCTAGGTTAACCTTTGATAATGTCCAAGTTTGGGACTGTTAGCACAGTAAGTTTTTTTTTTTTTTTTTTTTAAATATCAGGAAACTATGAGTTGTTAACCTTTTGGCTCGGTACTATGGATAACGCAACCCTTTGGCTCGGTACTATGGATAACGCAACCCTTTGGCTCGGTACTATGGATAACGCAACCCTTTGACTCGGTACTATGGATAACGCAACCCTTTGGCTCGGTACTATGAATATCGCAACCCTTCGGCCTTGATTCCATGATAGGTACCGTAAATCTAGGAGAAAATGTGGCTTTTCTGCCTACCCCCGGGAGTGAACCCGGACCACAAGTAGATCGTTGCCTGGTCACCGCGCAGTCCGGTTTAGCCAACTATGCTAGAGAGCCGGGCGCACAGTAAGTAAAAAAAGTAAAGGACCCTTTTCCACGCCTTCAGGCGTATAAGGCATATAGGGCTAGACCTATATTTTATAGACTAATAGGCACAGGATGAGGGTAGCACAATACTGGTATGAATATGTTGTTCATAACCTTTTTCTTAGCGATCATACTTATGGGTGATCCTCATCCGCATGGTGGCATTTTGTGTCACTGGGTGTTTATCGCTCAGTGTGATGTCCTAGTGGGGTAAAAAGTCAGTCAATAACGTGGTTAGCTAGTATATACATATAGGTATTCTGGCTCGTTGGCATCCTATTTCTATTTCCCGATCTATTATGTCGTCCTTCTAGAATATCAACATCATCATCATGTAGTAGGTCCTTTGCAGAACTTCGCTCTCATCACGGTCTGCCTGAAGGAAACTCGGTCTCTCGCCAGTTCTCCCGCCCCATGTACTTTTATACTCAAGGAGTCACTTATATCCTGTGCCCATCTTCGTGCCAGTCGGCCCCACTTCTCCTTCCTTGTACCATGCCTTCTGCTATAATTTTTTCCAATCCGTCGTGGCGCTTGATGCTGTTTATTAGCCAATCTTCCTTGATGTTCAGATTTTTCAAGATGTCAGTATTTCTCCTCTTCTTTGTCCAAGATATTCTGAGAATCTTTCTATAGCATTAAAGCCCAAAAGCCCCTATTCTCTTTCTTAAGGACTTAGAGATAGTCCACAACTCACATCCGCATGTAGCCGCAGGGAAGATTCATGTTCTCAAAATTCTAATTTTTGTCTCCTTGCTGGTGCTTAACCATAGAATTTTAAGGCTGTTCAATCTTTGCATTGCTATGGCCATCCTCCTTTTAATTTCTGTCAAACTGTCTCCATTGCTGTTTATTATAGAGCCTAGATATTCAAAGTTTGTGACATTTTCAATTTCTTCCTCATTTATTGTTATTTTTGGGTGACAGCCAGTTTTATCTGTAGACATTTTTCGTTTTTTTTTTAAATTCAAGAGCAGATTTTGATCTTCACTGTGCTTTTGGACAGACGATATTAAATTTTTTATTCCCTTTACATTGTTCGAAAGAAGGACTGTGTCATCTGCGTAGCGGAGATCCGGAATAGGGTTGCCTCCAATTTTGAGCGGATCATAACTGTCACAAGTCTGGTCATTTTTTACATTTCTCATTATGTTTTCTGCGTATATAATATTGAATAGGTATGGTGAGAGAATGCACCCCTGCCTCACCCCCTTTTGCACCGCGAACCAATCAGACGTTTCACCAGCTGCTCTGATGGCTGCTTGTTGTTCATGATAAAGATTTTCAATTAAATGCACTAAATGCGTTGGAAATCCCATACTTTTCATAATAGTCCGAGAATATACTTTCTAGAAATTAAAATTTTTTACTTGCCATCTTGTAATATATGTCTTTTTTTTTTTTTCAAATTGTGTCTGCTAACCATAATATCTGAATAAGCATCGAATATCTCACGTCTGCTTTTTTCCTACTTTGTGTGTGTGTATGGTCCATGGTCTGCCTTGTGAAGCTAGACGTCGAAGCTTAACACTAGATCGGTATCTGAGTTAGGTGCTCTCTATTTTGCCCGTGCTGCTGTGATGTTGTGGAGTTTCAATGTATCTGTGACTCATTCATTCCATGCTCTTTTTTTGGTCGCTCCTGCTTCTTCGTGTTTCTACTTTTTCTTTCTCCAGAAACCATGAGTTGTAAACCCTTTGGCTCGGTACTATCAATATCGCGGCCTTGATTCCATGATAGATACCGTAAATCTGGGAGAAATTTGGCTTCTCTGTCTACCGCCGGGCGTGAACCCGTATCACAAGAAGTTCAAGTCAAGTCAGGTTTAACCAACTAGGCTAGCGAGCCGGTCATTCATTTTCTTTAAATGACCCAACCATTTCTGTGTTTGGTTTTCAATGAGTTTAGTTGCAGGGATAGCTCCAATAGTTATTACAATTTTGGTTAGTTTGACGTTAGTCTCCCCAAATAGAGGAGGTCACTTTTCATTTACAAGTTTGTTGTGCTGGTCGACTTTCATGAAGGTTACGGGTGTGTGTCGCTCTGTTGTCTGGTTTCTGTGATGTCTTGCATTTAGGTTTTCATTTCAAGAAAGAGAATGCCTGTGACATAGGTTGCAGCACTCTCTAGATGGATATTGTTAGACCCAGTTTCTCCATGTTTTTGGAGTGTTAAAAGCGCTGGCGTGCTGAAATATACAACACGAGATATCAACGGCATTGCGGAACACCCCCGTAACCTTGTGCGAAGGTGACGTGGCTCAGGAACTACCAATCACAAGTGAGCTAGTGTGTATCTTTGTAATCTTGGTAATCTTAGTTTCAGCTTTATAGCAAACGAGTCACCCTATAGTTGCTCCGCTCCTGTGCCAACGAAAAACACACAGAATGTTCGTCGCAGTCCCTTGTGGAATTGAAAGACTGTTGTCCCAGCACATGCATTAGCATACACACGCATTAAAAGCATACAGTAGCCACCAGAAGTGTGTATATGGCCGGGGTCTGGGGAGACTTACATCATTTGTAGTGCAATTTCTTCGTTTCTCACATGATCTCTTCTATTTTTGTTCACAGATTTTCGCAAACATCCGATTCCACAGGCAGTCAGCTTTTATTTTAGTGTTCTTAAGTCAGTGTCAATGACTGACACGGACAGGACACAGTTGGCAGGAAGATTACATTTATAGACTGCTCTTATGTGTGTGTCTCTACTGGGATAGCCGAGTGTTTCAAAATTGGGGTCGGTTTATTTGCGCTATTGTTGGCTTGTTCCTGTACCTTCCCGGGTGTGTCCCAGGGCCTCATTGTGGGAGCAAACGAATGCATTGAGCCACTTCTCGCCCCCTAACAAGCATATCGCAAAAGTCGACTAATTAGGGACATTAACATTAGTCTTGCTCCAGAACTTGAGTTCTGCATGCACAACCGTTTTACAGCTATGGTTTATTTGTATGCAGATTGTTGGTTTCTTGCCTCTAAGGTGAATGCACTCCGACTTCGAAGAAAACACATGATTAGTCTATCGTTACGACATGCTTTGCTAAGGAGGCAGTCGGTCTATCCCCCCCCCCCTTTTTTTTTTCCCTCACAATAGGGCACTGGAACACACATGAGGGATCGTTATTTGAGACTGACTCCACAGAATCAGCGCTACTTTTTGTTTGCTTGTGTTTGTTTTCTTCTTTCAATGTTTTTGTTGCAGCAAGCCTGTGAGCTGCACGTGCACAGACACGAAAACAACAGAATCGAGTACACGTGCGCACATGGCCATGTGAGTTACAATTCTCTTTTACAATTTAACTATAAGCCGGGCTTTTTCGTTTTTGTTTTCTAGAATTAAAAATGTGCTGGTACTTCAAAGTGTCAATAGGGGGCAGCTACTCACCATAAAGTGTATAGTACAGAAGCGCTGAAAATATACAGCGTAAAACAAAGAGGTGCTAGTACTGCACACTGTTGTTTCCTGCTAGAAAAAAAAAAATAATAAAAAACGGGGCCGATAATATGCTTACAACAGATTTGATATAAAGCTTAAAGTCCTGGTGAAAGAAAATACAAATATAATAAAGTACTAAAAAGTATTACTGCCTAAAAAATAACAGCAGTGGCAACATGGACAACAAAACAATAGCAATAAGAACAAAGAAACAACCGAACCACCAGCTGAACTGCCTTTAGAGTAAAGACAATAAACTAACCGCATTTCGGAGATAGACATTGATACAACAGCAACAAGATATGGATATGGTATGAGCGTCACACCTTTCAGAAATCAATTGCAAACTACCGAAAGCAGTATTGCCTAATAAATAGCTAACGGTCAAAAATGCTTGGTTTGCCTTGCAACGCCTGAAAATAGGTGAGGGAAAAATAAAAATAAACGAACTTTATAGCATAATCAACAGTTTCATGACTATAGAAAGAATGAGACTATGTTATGACTTAATAAGCAATCTGAAGATCTTAAAAGTAGAAAGAAGGAAGCCAGGAAGAGTTCTGGATGGAGTTGCATTCAGAAGACAATGCTAGGCAAGGATGCAGGGCATTCTCAACGTACGCTTACATAAACAAGCAGATACAGGAGCAAGCTTTCTGGGTCAAGTGATTTGACAGTAACATTAACTAAACTTCCCATATTAAGGTTAAGGTTAGTTGTGTATCCTTTACAGGACGTTGCAGAACCAACCCCGACAGCTCCTGGCTGTTGTGTGGTTTTTCTAGGCAGATTACGTCCAGTAGTTTGCCATTGCTCCTGGACGGTCGGCTTTTTCGATACCACTGTCGAAACCAACGCAAGGTGCATGGCCCTCAGCTGGGATCGAACCCAGCATCCTGGCATTACGAAGCGTTCGCATCGACTTAGCCACAGAGCCGACAAACTTAACATATACATAAAGGACGTAATGAACTAATATTCTAAACAGTGTCATTCATCGCATTAAAAACAACTGAACAATAAATATGCCTTTTTTTTTTTTTCTATTCCTAAGTATTCAAACAGCTTTAAGGGTAGGTGTGCCGTGAAATTTCTTTTGCCTGACAAGAGTGCCGAGACGAAAACGTTTCAGAACCGCTGTCCTAGACAACAGCCCGTGCCAACGGCGTGCAAGCGAGAGCGTGTACAAAAGCGAGATACATTACATCGATGTTTCTCTTTGTCAGTTTGAACTGTAATATGCATTTGGCGAGATACAGCGAAATACGACTTGCAATGAAATGTCAGTTTACTATTTGTATCTTTTTTTCGTAAAGATTCTTACAAAGAAGAGGAGAAATACTGACATCTTGAAAGATCTGAACATCAAGGAAGATTGGCTAATAAACAGCATCCTGTCTCGGAAGCTAAAATATTTTGGTCATATCAAGCGCCACGACGGATTGGAAAAAATTATAGTAGAAGGCATGGTACCAGGAAGGAGGGGCAGGGGCCGACCGACCGACAGGAAGATGGGCACGGGATATAAGTGACTCCTTGAGTATAAAAGTGCACGAAGCGGGAGAACTGGCGAGAGACCGAGTTTCTTTCAGGCAGACTGTGATGAGAGCGACGTTCTACAAATGACCTGCTACATGATGATGATGATGTCACCTTTGTTCAACTAACTACATTATTCCACTCATGACGCTTCTGAGAACAATGTTGAAAGTCAATATTATTTTATCTCCTTCTTCTTTTCCTGCTTTAGTCTTGCGCCAGTCACGAAGCTCATGGTTGTGACGTTAACCAAGCCACTTGTTCTTACTGTTGCCAAAGCTACACTGAATGTTTGCAGGAGCTACAAAATGTGTTTGCAGGTAACTGTAGTAATCATTACCATCATCATTAG